TTAATTCGTGCGGGAGTTTTTAGGCTTTCTTGCCACCATAAGGATAATTGCTTGTTGAGTCAGATAGTATTGCCGGCAAAGACAAGGGAGACTGGGATGACCATTTCTGGCTTATAGGCCGTCGTCAGCCAGTCATAGCCAGACCCCAGTGGTGCCCCATCCAAGGCTGAAACTCGTGACCTGTTCGCTTACAGTCTAACGCTCTAGCCATTGAGTCACGGGCTCTTTGTCTAGTTCGAGTCTCGGGTGGTGGGCCACTTTGCGTGTGGTTATGACTGGCTGATGATGGCTACTAAGCCCGAAATGGCCATTCCAGGCTCACTTGCCTCCACCGGCGATACTATATGCCTGGACTACTAGTTGCCACGGCTGCTGTCAGGGCCCGAGAAATGAGACTCAAGGCAGACCGGGACGAATGCGTACGGTGAACATTCATCAGCGAGTGCTTTTTGAATGTTTGAAAGTCTCCAGGATGCCTCCTTGACCCCTGGAAGTAGGTATCTGCTCTTTACGGACCATTTGGTGAACAACCTAACTGCATACTGCAAAAGAATTTGAACCGGCTCTTGAAGCTTTTCCGTAAGGCCATTGTTTCCTGCTTAAATCGTACTGTATGCAAGCTATTGTTTGTTGATGACTTGCGGAAACCTGTGGATCACTCCCGTAAAACCTAGCACATCGTTCAAGAAAGTTGCTTAAGTGTCCAGCTCTTTTTTCAGATGATCCTTCTGCTTTGGATATGGTAAAAATTCCGATTGGATTAGTGCCGGTGGAGCTTTTACAAGTGCGGATACTGTCTTTGTTTAGTCGCACTCAACACACCCCAGCATGTTCGCCGAATGGATCGAACCTGAAATGGCGAATTCTCGAATAGTTGGTTTTCGAAAATTGTTTGAGCATGCATTCCTTCTGCACGCGGACACTGATCCCCTTCTGAAACCCAAAGGTTCAATCCCTATGCCCTTGCTAGTGAACCTTATTCTTTTCCTTCCCCTTGACATGCAAGGGTTCTAAATAAACGTCCAGATCTGACAGTTATGGCTTAATTCACACTTTGTCCGACAGAATGATGATAGTGGTGTTAATTGTATCTAGCATTTTACCTTCATCGGACCGTTTCTCCGCTTAAATCATTCATTAGGCTACGGTCAGACCGAATATCGACAGTTAACTCGTCTTTTTCAGGGCTATGATTTTAGCGAGGAAGAAAGATCGATAGTACGATCCCACACTAAGAAAAAAACAAGACTAGATGAAGAAGATAGCCTTAACCTAATGAATTCAACTGCCTGTACCGATCGGTGAAGAACAAAGTCAGTAGATCAAATATCAGCGCGTAGTCACTATTCACGAACTTAAACATAGAGCGATAAATACATGTAAATAAAATGCGTAACAAACGGAATCAGTATAGAAAGTCAGATGACAAATCAATCAACCTTGAATTCGAGTGTAGCAGTCACTCGGTTAGAAAATTATTCGGCAATTGAGCAACCTTTTTAAAACCAAAAGCTACCCTTTCTTTAAGTATAAATTTTAAAGAAGGCGTAATTTGCTATCAAACAAGAAAAAATAGTTTTCTCGTGCATGTTTTCCATAAAATATATTTTAATTTATAAGGGCAGTCAAAATAAATGATAAAAAAGGCATACAGTTTTTACAATATATACGTTTTGCTAGC